GGATAGCCCAGTGACCTAGAATAGAACCAAAATGACTGGCAAAAAAAAGTCAATGAAATGATTTCTAATGATATTCTCCTATACTCATAAACTAGAGTCTAGCATAGTCTAGCATAATCATCTTCAGAAAGGCTTCATCCAGCAACTGATAGGAGCAGATGCAAAGACCCACAGGCAAACATTAGGAGGAATAGGAAGGAAAGACTGCAGGAGGCAAAAGGGTCAAGTGCCCCATACGTATATAGCCCACAGAATCAACTAACTAGGGCTCAAAAGGGTTCATGGGGACTGAAGTAACAATCAGGGAGCCTGCACGAGCCTGACCAACGTCCTCTGCATATATGTTATAATTGTGTAGCTTGGTTTTCCTGTGGGATTCCTAACAGTGGGAACAGTGGCTCTCTCTGACTCGTTTGCCTGTGCTTGGGACCCTTTTCCTCCCACTGGGTTGCCTCGTCCAGCCTTGATATGAGGTATATGCCTAGTTTTGTTGTAACTTGTTATGCTGTGCTTGGTTGATATCCCTGGAAGGCCTGCTTTATGAAGGAAAAGGGAGGAGGAGTGCACCTAGGAGGCGAGGACAGAGGGGAAACTGCAGTCAGGATGATAGAATGTATAAGATAAAAATAATATATGAAAGAAGAAAAATAGAAATAAGTTTTATAAAAAGTCCATTGAAATAAAGCTCTTTTTTGAATAGCTACACAATTATTTAGTATTCTGTTAAGATTTGTTCCTAATAAACACAGGGGCAGAAACATTGTCATTATAACTTTGCAGTTTTAATATTTTAAGCCCTTCCTTTTTGAAGATTAATCCCTGTTGCATACTAATATTATAAATGTTGATTCAAAACAGCTAACAAGCAACCAGAGATAAAGGAGATTTAAAACAGCTTTACAGAAAAGCTTTTCCAATCATGTTTTAAAATATAACTTATTTTGAAAATAACTATAGGGGTAAATAATCTGTTTTCCCACTCTCTAGGAGATTATGAATACTGTATGTGTATGTCTACGTTAAGTAACAGTACAAACAAAACCAATATCATGTAATTCCCAGCTTTAAACAAAATGGAAAGAGTAGGCAAAGAAGGTTGTCAACTGATTTCTTCATACACATACAACTTCAGGAATGGCCTTCAATGAGACGGTAAACAGTTGAATACTACTAGCATTGACAATAGGCTTCAAATGGTTCAAATAGAAGTGTAATTCCAGAACACTCTGAACGGAATTTCTTTATAACCCCATTTAGACACTGTCCTACTAACTCTATGTGTAACTGAAATTTTATCTGAAAGGGCAGTTAAAATATGAAAATATAAATAGACACTTTCAAGAAAGCTACAAATACAGAAACCTTGATTTGAGAGAATAGTTTTGTATATGTGTGTTTATGTGTTTGTATGTGAATTTAGTTAAATACGCCACAAGAATATCTCACATTGCTTCTTTAAATGAAACAATTGTTCACTTATAATCAATGCTTTGTTTATAAGTGAACAATATTAATCAATGCTTTGTTAATATGCAGATACATGACTTAGAGCACTTGAACCAATGAGAAGAAATGCCTTCTTTAACTCCTCCCCAGGCTCCACTCACTTCAGTTGACCTTCTGCAGACCCCACCACTGAACAATCAAATTCTGCCAGACCTATATGGAGGGCTATTCTTCTACACTTGTCTTTCCTGACTCTATAGTAAAAGCTTGATGGAGGACTAGGTCCAATAAAAATGCATGTTTATACATAATTTTATGCTGTCCACATTATGATACTTCTCTTGAGACCATGACTTTAATCTTATTTTAAGTTATGTTTAAATAGGACCATGCAAAATGGGCTATTTTGTGCTATGCTTCTTTGATCCACATTTAGATTTGTGAGATAAATAAATTGCTACTTTATATTACTAGCACTATCAGAAAATCACACAACTTGTCTATGCAGTGTTAGCATAAAATATATTTCATATGTGATTTTCATAAATGCACAGAAGTTAAAATAGCATAAACTTGTGTCATGTCACCTTTTGAATTTTACTGCAAGAGAGAAGTCAGAAAAAATAATCAATCAAAAAGGTTTTAAGCACCTCATTAAATATTTCAATTTCTACACTACTTCAGACCATGTCTTATTACTTTTATAGTACCCACAATTTAACTTCAAATTTGATAAACACAGGAAAACTGAAGAAGAAATAAAGTAAATATACCATTTATATGTGATAGATTTTTATTTACCTATGTATTTATCTAGCTATTCTTGATATGAGAATCTAGCCCAAGTTCTTTGCTATGCTGACAAAGTTTAACTGTTCCAAAAAACGAAACAATAATATTGCAGTGTTAGTCCTTTGAATAGTAAGACTAAATTGTTCTGTTTTATGCAGTCATTTTCTAGTTGTTAGTCCACTTCCCACATTCTTTACTTACCATTGAAAATAAAAACCATATATAGTTCATGACATTGCAGTTATAGCTTCAAATAACTTTTAGTTACATGAAGGTATTATAATTACTTTCTGCAATAAAAATGAAACAGGAAAGACAAGTGATCAAACCAGATAGAGAATGAAAACACAGAATGGTAGTAGTCAGCAGCATTAGATTAGTGCTAGCTCCTAAAACCAGTATCGGGTAAGTAAGCTCTCCAGAGTAAACATTCAGAGGGAAATATTGACTCTTTGGTGGTTAATCTTCATTATCACTATCACTGCACAGAGAATCTCCTAGAAAACTGTTAAGAGTTCTTGTGGGCACAGATGTAAGGACAGACTAGGGGAGACACTCTGAATTTCCCTACTAACATCTTAATCATTATATACCATCCTAACTAACAGTAATACATTTACATTGTTACAAAATTCTAGGGTGGAATTCTGTGAAAAAAAATCAAAAAGATCTGAGATACGGGGGTTAAGACACAAAAGGAGCATATCTGAAAGATGAGGCAGAGATGGGAGACAAGCATTCTGAGAAAGAGCTCCCAAATGGAAAGGAAATGAGACCAGTCATCGTAGGCAGGATCTCCTGACCGGACAAGACCCAGGAGTGTTTCCCATGTCCCCACTCTCCGTGAAATAAGGTAAAGAGCTCCCCCTCTCTGACAGGCCTGCTACTAACAATGCAGCTTTCTGACTATCTCTTATTATTTTTCAATTCTTTGACTTATTCTATATTTGTTATATACTCAAATATGAACATGCATACACATAGTTTTTCCTTCTGTTTTAGCTGCACATAAGAAAAAGCCCTTATTAAATGAAATGAAGAAAGAATAACTGCATGAGGCCATAACACCATGGTCTAAACACAAGATTATTTTATCTTTATGCATATTTAATAGAGAAAAAAAGCTTGTGAGAAGTCAAGGCAAGTTTTTACATCATAGGGCTGCAAAATGAAATCATACATAGGCCAACTAAATAGCACAGTTCTTAGATCAAAAGCAGTTAACAGTCACTCCTTGGAATATTTTCCATTTGGAAAATAGCCAGCTTCTGCTATTTACTCTCAAGTTCCAACTTCACAATAACTTCCTCTGTTATTTTCCATCTTGATTATTGCTGCTCTGCTGGGTGCTAAGACCATCAGCCTATTGTTCAAAATGAAGACATGAGGGGATGGGAGGAATGATTCTACCAGGGAATTTTACTTAAAAGTCTAAAATTCTTTCTTTTAACTCCAAATAAAATGTGTTATTTTGGTTCGGTCCTTTCAAGCCCTTGATTAGTGTTAGTATTGTCATGAATCAAGATGACAATTTAATGTTTAAGGAGTATAATTGCTTGCCTTTTGATCCCCCTTTATGGCATCTGGTTCATAGTTGATGTGAACAAATAAGCAACAAGTTCTTATGTAGATAAAAACATTACTTCTTATGATGTCACAGTACATAAATTATTCTAAGATGTTCACTTAGCAAGTAAGCCAATGCATTTTACTAACAGACAAAGCAAGGGGGAAGATCTGGGCTGCAGTCTTCCAGGGAAAATCTGATATGAATGTTTCTTGGGAAGTACCCTTTGGGGCAGTTCCGTAATGACACTGGTTTGGAGACTCAGGAGAGAAAAACAAATTAGTCAGGCACACTGACCTCGAGGAAGCCCTCTTTTGAATCCCTTGGATCAGGTGCCACGCTGACCTTCCTCTGGGTGAATCCCATCTGCTCTGTACTGCAACTGCCAAATCTCCTAAATAACCTACCAAATGGTTTTATGATCCTCTGACATAAAACCTGACACACAATAAGAAGTGGGTATTTACTGAGTAAATCAGTATGTTCCAACTAAAATGTTCACAGTAAAAAACAAAAAGTTAAACAGTCCTCTCAACGTATGTAAATGGATGGAAAAAGAGAAGCTCAAATGCCAGGTATCTTCACATATCAGGTCAGGAGATAAAATTCTTCTAAACAATGCTTAGATAGTAATCCATTTGTGACCATAACAATTAAAACACTTTACTAACCAACAAAATCTGCACAGTGATTTCTAAGTCTCATTTTGTAAAAATGTGTTTCTACTTAAGAGGCAGAAGGCATCTGAGACCACTAAGTTCTATTTTCTCTCATTCCTATCACTTAAAAACAGCTGAACTGGTTCTGTTTAAAAAAGAAATCAAGCGGTAGAAACATCTGAGAACTGAGATCCAATGGGAAAGCACTGTGAAGCAACACTCTGCAAGCTGCTGTGAAACATGACACTCAGTCTAGTTAACTGGGCTCTCTGTGCAGTATGAGCAACTTGTCTGTGTTTTTAATTTTACTTTTATGTTATATGCATAGGCCTACAGATGCCAGAACGGGACTTGGGATCCTCTGGCACTGAAGTTACAGAAAATTGTTAGCCATTAAGTGGGTGCTGAGACCAGAACCTAGGTCCTATGAAGGAGAAGCTAGTATTCTTCCCCACTGAGCCAGCTCTCCAGCCCCAACCAAGAGCAACTGTTAAAACATTAAATATTTTGTGATTATTTTTTCTTTTTTAACTCACTTTAAAGCTTCCTCAAATTTATGGATCTTCCTCTGAGTGTCTTCTTTCTCTTTATTAAGTTCACTCTGTAATTCCTGCACCTGCCATGAGAGAGTACATTAAACTTACCGGACAATAAGTATACTCAGAAATACAAAAAAAACAACAATCTCAAATCCATTGTGATATGAATTCTGATTTAGTATTTCATGACAGAAATCTGTTTATCTGCAGAATAATTTCAACGTTATACTCCCAATGTAACTTTCCAATTAATGAATTGGCACGCATCAACTTCAAAAAGCACCAATCACGTTATTTTTTAATTATATTATTGACAGGGAAATAAATTTCATATTACTGAGAAGACTAGAATAAACAGTGTGTCTGCATTAACCAGATATAGAAGGGCTATTATGAAATATTCCATTGCTAAGCATGATTCGTGCACCCACTGACCACATGTGGAACAAAATGCTGCCATGACTGCCTCCATCCAGCGCGTGGCAACCTTTGTGTAGGTGGGAGGACAGCACCAATCACAGAGGCTAAAGGAAAATTCTCTTCACACACTCAAAAACACACCCCACACTCTAAAGCCACGTCACACGCTGCTTCAGAACTAGCCAAAAGTAGATATTTTTATCAGTTTCAATGGGGACATATTTAACGCAAATCCCACATTCTCTATTTTTTTTTTTATAATTATCTTGATTTTTTCCTTTTGTGTTAGGCAACTAAATTAGTAAAGTCAACTATATTCTTAGAAACTCAAAGCAGTGCGGCTAGAGAGGTAATTTTCCACGATAATATCATAAAACCTCTATTAGTTTCTATGATGGAAACCACTAAACTAAGACAGAACTGAGAAGCAAATAAGACAATGAGTTCTGAGGTGATGAGTGACCAGGAAAATTAAAAGACACTTTTTTGGTGCCACTTTGGGGTACAGTAATGATCAATTCAAAAAATCCCATAAGTATAATTTTTCTTATAATGAGAAGGATCACTCACCTTGAGAATCTTTACCACTAATAGTACTTACTTTATGGTATATAGGAAAAAGAAAAGTCTGCTGACAGTTTACACTCAGACTTCAACTGTTGTCTCGCTGCTTATAGATCACTGACATGTTACTATGCTTGGCACACAGCAAGCATTTTACATTGGAATAAAAACAAGCTTTGCACATTAAATACTGTGTGCAGTGGGGAACTCCAGATAAAATTAAAGGGTACCTTTAAATGGTCACATCCCTACTTCTTCACAAGTTATTTAGCATGCTGGATCTCAGTCCCCTCTACAAACAGGGATCAACACTAACCATATCAAAATATCCTGGTAAAAGTGGATTACTTCAGGCAATTCACTCTTGTGAATACTCGCACATAAGAAATTCTCAATGTGAAAATTACATCGAAAGTGTCAGACTGAACACCATAAAGTATTTCTTGAGCACTTCGGGTCACTATGAACAACAGTCACAATGTGCACAGTAAGAAGCTGCTTGCCCTTCCATAAAGCAGCCCCGGGTTGTGAAGTGTTCTGAGTTCTTGTGTGCTCTCCATTGCTCACTACACAACCTTCTTTTTCATTTGTCTGTTTGTTTAGTGTAATTTCTTTGCAGCCTGATCCAGCCCCCTCCCTCCCTCAAGCTCTCCTCTCCCTATGCCCTCTCTCCTTTTCTCAGGGAAGGGGAGGCTCTCAAGGGGTATCAACCCACCCTGGCACCTCCTGTCGTGGCAGGACCTCTCCCACTGGAGGACAAGGCAGCCCAGCTATGGGAAAGAGATGAAGTGACAGCAACAGAGTCGGAGACAGCTCCTTCTATTGTTCTCACCACGCAATCTTAACCTATTTCAAATCCCAGCTTTCACTTCTTAATGATTGTTAGCGTGTGACACACGCACCGAGATAAAATGATTAAGACGCTCAGCTCCATGTCTGAAGGGAGAGGGAGCTATCAGGGTGGGGAAGAAGGGCTCTTCTCGAGTCAAGAACACATGCATGTGTGCACATGCTTCCAGGCTGCTTCTCAATTACATTACTAGCTCAGCGCCCAGCATCCCTGACCCACACTAGAGCAGTCATTTAGGGGTATTCTGGGCTTGTTTCCTCTTGACAGAATATTTTAGTAGAGCACGCTTGAGATCCTTTTTTAATTATAGGTTTATTTGATCCATATTTTGGCTATTTGCAGGCAATATATAATTAAATACCATACAAATAATCAATGAATATTGACTTTGATGGAAGACTACAACTTAATATTTGTATTGAAATATTATATATATTATTTTTACATAAAAGAAAACTAAGAAATAACATAAAGATGATGCTACTGCCCAATATCTATTTGTATTTATTTCTATTTCATTTTCATTTCTATTCTTTTTTTTCCTATTCTTTTTTTTACACAGGGTCTTGCCATGTTGCCGAAAGGTAATGTAGAGTAAGATTCAATGTGATTTAATTCAAATCTTTCTTCAATATATAGTTAATACTGAACTAAAGTATTGATGGTAGTTAAGACACCCAGGTTACTCTCAAACATGTGAGTTTATTCTAAGTAGTTGATTTCAGTAGACATAAGCACAGTTATTGAACATATGCTAAATATGGCTATATTCCCTTCAATCTCCCCAAAATTAAGAAATCAAAAAGGAGCATATAAATAAGGAAAGATCTGTGGATCGTGGCATAGCAAGAGCACAGAGCTGAGGCTGGCCCCAAAACCAACTAGCAGACTATTACTGCCTCTTAACAACTCTAATCACCACAGTCTAGAGTTAAAAATATAGATGACCACATTGCATCTTTACTAAATAGTACATCAGCACAAGTTATTTTTCTCTTTTAACTTTGGAAAAGTTACCTATCCTTTTAAAGAAAATTATGACAGTAGTAGTAAAAATACAATCTAATATGTGTTACATATAAAGTTCCTGTGAACATGCTTAAATTGTTTAAATAGAATTATACAAGGTACATATGAATGTTAAGTACTGGAAAGACTGTGCTTCTGTGTGTTTCAGAACCTACATTACATTTGTTACAGTTACAACAATGACTTTAGGAGGTTAGTCAGTCTAGCACGTTTTAACTAGTGCATGTGAGCATCTGCCTCGTGTTCTTCTTTGGGTAAACAGCACCACTCTTTACTCCCGGCACCTGTTTGGAAAACAAGCCCTAGGTTATTTGTAGGAGGCAGGTGTTTCCTTACTAGTAAAATCATTTACTCCAGCAGTTTCCTGATTTAGCAGATTACGACACTTCATCAAACAATGACGGTTAGCTTTATGGCCTATTATTTGTTTGATGTTCAAAGATCTAAAGAGCAGGCAACAGCCACCAGAGATCAATAAAGACCATGAGATAATATGTGTGTGCTTAAATTAGGGACAGCATCTGATGCTGTTTCTTCCACCTCAAAGACGGTGGGATGGTATGCTCCCATCCTGCTGCTTTCACACTGGCATGAGGAAATAATGTCATTCAGATGGCATTTCCTCCTCCTGAACAGAGATATTCAGAAGCACATTTTCTATGGAAAGTTACTGAATGTGCACACCTGTAACACTCTCCAAACAAAAGCCCTATCCATGCAGTTAGCTATCCAGTTACACAGCCAAGGACTGTGTGAGATTTATGTCAGGCCTTTGAGCTGTCAGAAGGACATTCCCTCAGGGGGGTACAAGACATCAAATCTTCAAGGCTTGAGATCACAGCAGGTTTAATAAATAAAGAAGAGCAGATGTCAATTTAAAAGGGGAGATTATGGAATTAATTGTGAAACAAAAAGTGGCACATTGAAGAACCGTTTCTTTTAATATAAACAATATCAGTAACATATGCAATATGAACAAATACATATTTCTCTCCTAGAGATTGTTGTTGGTTTAAACAAGTCATGTTTACATTAAAAACAGCCAAATATATTCTGGTTATTTTATTTAAAAGTGAGGTCGATTGATAGCTCATAGAAATGGAATAGCTACAATTACAATGCCTAACAAAGGTTTTAGGTCTCCTTCCAGAGGAGAACCATAACAGGAATGGTCAGTAGGCTACTGATAAAAATGGAATTATGACAGGCACTTAGACATTGCCTTTTCTTTAAAAAAAAATGCATTGACTCCCCACTTGAACTCACATGGTAACTAAAGACAAGATGAAAGCCTGGCCTCTCCACCTCCATTTTGCATCTGTCTCCTTTCCTTCAGAGGTCACTCATTTACCTCTGCAGTCATGAGGATTCCTTACTCAAGGAACATCTATCTAGGAGCCAGTGCCACCTAACTTACTTCATTCCCTTTCAAGCTGGAAGCACAAAAATAAGAGGAACTGGGAGATCCTACTGTGAATTTTTCATTGTCCTTCCTCCAGACCCCACAAAAGGGCTAACCAGTCTCTAGTCATTGTTCTGAATCTTGGACTCCAAAGACAGCAAAGCCTAGCAGGAACAAACACCTCAAGTGAGGGGAGTTTTCCATGATGGTGAAATGGTACCCTGGAGCAGAAGTCTACAAGGAATCAGCTTGTCTCCTCAAGCAATAAAGACTTCTTCAGAGTCCCCTGCAGAACTAGAGTGAGATGTTGATCAAGCAGAGCACAGCTTGAGCAGGACTATTTACCTGTGCATGCACTTGCCCCACCCTAACTCTTTCTCCATTTAAACATGTCCATTCCCAGAAGATGGGACTTGTGCTTACTATGCTACTTCTTCTGCTCCACTGATCACTTTCCTTTCTCTGCTCTGTGTTGTGCCACGAGGTGGCAAAGCCTACCTTTCGCAGCTGCTGCAGTGTGGGCTTGTGCCCTAAGCTTCAATAACAAAACAAATTCTCAAGTTTCCTTCCTTTTGTCTATTCACCAGGGAGAAAGGCTGATAGCAGAACCTTAGATTACTCAGTGGCTAAAAACTCAAGAACATGTAGACGCAAAGGCCATCTGGGTCTTTCTCTCCATGGAACAATTCTCAGGTGTGCCTTGCTCCTCGACACCAGCCCATCCTTTCCACAGGCTGGCAGATCAGAGGAAGGCTGGCCCAACGGCAGAAGAGCAGTAGGGCAGAAAGGAGTTCCATACATATGGAAGAGAAGCCAGAGGGCTTCCCAGGGAGTTCACCCAGACTAACCCAGTGCCTTACACAACGGAAAAGACTTCTAGTATTGTGCTGTGCTCTCTCTCTATCTCTCTCTCTTTCGTAAGCAAAATATTTAGGAAACTTCATTTCTCAGCAATAGAAACTAAAAAACTTCATTTGAATCAAAACATTATTTCCTCTTCCTGCTCATATACCATTTGCAGGTATAAAAAATACTAAATACCTGGCAATGAATTATAATAAAACTTCAGGAGTAAGAAAATAATTACAATTATAAAAAGCACACAAACACAGATCAATATATATGAAAAGAAATCTTTGTAAGTGACAAACACACTTGTTATCTCTTGGTATGCTAAGCTCTTGGAGGCAGAGTGCCTAACTGCTCCCAGCCTCATCCAATTACCAAACATGATGCCTTATCCAATGAAAGCATTTAAAGAATATCTACTAAGCAACTAGAAGGACAAAAGAAAAAAAAAAAAAAGATGTGTTACAAAGTGGATTGAGAATATGTACCAGGGTTAGCTTTAATTTACATATATTTCAATGGAAGGGTAAAGCTCATTTTCTACTTTACAAGTGGTTTAATTTGCCAAATATTAAAAGTAAATAACAAAAATACCAACAAAACCTTTGTTATTTCAACTGCTTTTACTTTCCATGTCTTATAGCAAACCATTTCCATTTCAGAACTGTCATATCAGTCACAAATCTGCATATGCTCTCTAAAGTATTAAAACTTTAGTTACTACTGATAATAGTAATATTAAAATACATTGATGAAAATATTCTGAATGCTAAGAAACTTTTAAGTTGCAAGTAGTCAATGCTTTCAATGTTTTGGGGTTTTTGTTTACATAGTCAAAGTTCTTATTACATAGATGATACATAGGAATGCAATGTAAGTCCCAATTATTTCAAACTTGAAGAAATAAAAAAACCAAGGTGTTTGTAACAGAGGTTCAGTCAATGATTCTCTTCATTCACCCAAAAGAGCATAAAGCTAGAGCTTTAATGTTGGTATGATTAACAACTACACCAAAGAATCTGTTCATAAACATGAAAACTTTTATTATATTGATTAGCTGAGATTAAAAGAGAAACAAAAAATTCTTTAAAGGGTAAATATATTACTTTAATAAACCAGTTCCCTTTAACTGCTTAAATTGTTATTCTAAATGTTTATAATCTCCAACTATATTACCTTTTTTTCATAGGTGTGTTTTAAATTGTTTGTCTCCATCTCAAACTTACTTTCTTGATCCTGTAAATGATAAATGTTTATTTTTAGTATGTTTAACATGACCTCTAGAGTCAGTAAAATTAGTGACCAGATAAGAGCAATGAATGTACTTTATGTTAGACTTTACTTCAGAGTTCTGCATGCCATTTGCTTATCATTAAGAGAGCTCTAGGCACCTAATTTTCTAAGTCACAAGAAAAGACACAAGCAGCTTTATGTTATAAGACATAAAACCTAAGCTGTATGAAGGTGCTGTTGTCCTCAAGAACAAGGATCACTGTGACATTTAAGATTATGAGATTAGGAATGGGCAATGAAGTCAAGACGGCAATGATAACGCCAAAGTTGTTTTATATCATCGTCCCTGATACCCTTTAATTGAGAGAATGAAAGCAATGAGGAAAATATAAAGAGGGAAGGAAGACAATGGAATCTGAGAACTTAAAAGGGAGAATATTTTTTAAAATAGTACACTTAAATGAGAGATTTTTTTTTCCACATCAAACAAAAATTTGATGGCATATAACACTAGTAAGATATGTAAAAAGAACAGCAAATAATGCATATACACTTGTATCCTTTAATATATTCCCTAATCACACTGGTAACCCATGCACATTATTGACAGTACACCAAATAACAAACATTGGGGCTTACTTTTAAAAAGATTTAACATATTAAAATATTTCATTTAAAACCAAAAATTCTGGGCCCAGGGGTCTTTTCTGAGACTGATACTCCAACCAAGGACCATGCATGGAGACAAACTAGAACCCTGCACAGATGTATTCCATAGCAGTTCAGTCTCCAAGTGGGTTTCCTAGTAAGGGGAACAAGGGCTGTCTCTGACATGAACTCAGGCTGGCTCTTTGATCACCTCCCCCTGAGGAAGGAGTAGCCTTACCAGGCCACAGAAAAAGAGGATGCAGCCAGTCCTGATGAGACCTGATAGGCTAGGATCACAGGAAAGAGGAGGAGGACCTCCCCTATCAGTGCACTGGGGGAGGGGCATGGGAGGAGATGAGAGAGGGGTCTATAGCTGGGATACAAAGTGAACAAATTGAAATAAATTAATAAAACTATTTATGTTTAATATATTTTAATAATTTCACTTCAACTTACATAAAACATATTAGATATCATGACATTTTTCCATTTATTTATTTATTTAGTCACTTTATAGAATGATGGCAGGTCCCTCCCTCATCTCCTTCCAATTAATGCAATTTTGAACAAAGTATGTTAGTAGAATTTCCTCCCTTCCCATCTTCCCCAACCCTCTGCTACCCCTAGTCCCTCCTTGTTCTCATTCCCCATATTATTTCCTCTTTTATACTTTATATGTCCTTTACCCAACCCCATCCTTCCCATCGCCTATCTTTACCATGTCTTGGTCTCCTTTCTTGTTTTTTCTTTTTAGCTTTTACCCATAATCCCACACATACAGATGTATACATTATGGGCTAGGACCCACATAATATGAAAGAAAACATTCAGGGTTTATCTTTATGCATCTGGGTCCCCATGCTTGATATTACAATTTATAAATTCATCTACTTTCCTGAAAATTTCAAGATCTCATTTTTAAATCATTTAAGATTTTAATTCTAAACTAATCTCAAAAGAGAGATTTCAAATCAACTGTATTTTAGTCTCTACATATTAGCATATTCATTGGTTAGGTAAAATGCCAGGAATACAATCAGAAATGGCTACGTCCACACAGACTCCATCTAAGTTATTTTTTTTTTAGTTGACTTTCATTTATAACCATAGATGAAGAAAGCAAAGGAACTGGGCCCACTGATCTCGGTCAGAGTATAGGACTCACTTTTACTTGCTGTTTCCTATGAAGCTCCGACTCCTGGACCTGCTGTTTTAATAGACAGATGTTCTGTTCCAACTCTTCAATCACATCAGATGTCTAGGATTAAAGAAAAGAAGGTAGAGCACTGACTTTTCTATCATCCACACTTCTGGTTGACATAAAGCCCACCATTTCACCCATAAAAGTTAAGTCAGAATTTGAGTTATCTACAAACTATAAACTGAATGAAAAAAAATGTAAAGACAATATAAGAGTTAAATCTATTTTTAAATATACTGTAAAGAGGAACAGTAAGCTGAGCAGTAACTAGAGTAACATTTGAAGCCAAAAATTAGTATTTCGAAGTAAAAATGTAAATTAAAATCTGCATAGTATTTAACGCTATAAAACATAACACTGAGTTAAAATCTTATAATTTTTTAATTTAAAAAATAAGAATTAAATATAAAAAATTTCAAAGTAACACCATTGTATGTGTGCAGTAGCACTTCAGAAAGCATATCTAAGAATTTCTTCTTTAAAACGTTAGTGCTTTAGGCAAGCTCCGAGCAGAGCTCACTGTTAGGTGCTATGTGGGCTATGGACATTGAGTGTTTTCACGATTCTAAACAGTAGCAAATGTTTTGAAGTCTAGAGACTTCAAGAACAAAATGAAAAGGGGGCTAATTTCAAACGGAAATGACCAGCTGATATATCGCTGCCCACGGCTGAACACTTGTGCAAATGTGACTACCTACATGTACAATACCTTAGCAGCTGAAAGTGCAAGCTCTTGTTTCATGAGGCTTATGTCAGAATCGTATTTGGTTTTTAATAATTTCACATTTTTCTCATAGTCATTTACAAGATGTTCTTTCTCTTTATGTAGTATGTTACGCCTACAACAGGAATATAAAAAATAATGTTTTTATACTTTTGAAACCAATCTCTAAATGGATATCAACTAAATTAATCAACTAAATTCAAATATATTCTCTTTCACTACATGAAGTAGGTATCCATATTTTCATCAACTTTTTAAGTACGTTTAAAAATATGTAAAGAGACCAACAGAGCCAACTAACCAGGGCCCAACTAACCAGAAGAGTTTGTGGAGACTGAAGCAACAACCAAGGTCCATGCATAGACTGGACCTAGGGCCCCTGCACTGATATAGCAGATGGGCAGCTCAGGGTTCATGTGGTTTCCTAGTAAGGGGACCAGGGGCTGTCTCTGACATGGACTCTCTTGCCTGCTTTTTGATCACTCCCTGCTGGCAGGCGGCCTTACCAGGTCTCAGGGGAAGACCTCAATCCTGATGTGATTTGATGATCTGGAGTGGGGGTCAGGGGTAGGGAAGCTTCCCTTTTCTGAAGAATATGGGAAGAGGGATGGGAGAAAAGGGAGGGAAGATGGGACTGGTAGGAGAGGATGGAAAGTGCTGCAAGTCGGGTGTAAAGTGAATAAAGAAAGTAATTATTTAAAAAAATCCTGCTTAGATAGGAAGGTCATAAGCTTTACTGCATAGTCTGACAACTCCTGCAGGTCACTTACCAAGTCAGAGCTGTTCTTACAGCCGCTGACAAAGACCACCTACCTGGTCTTTAACTCCTGCAATTCACTACATGTCATTTGGTAGCATCTTTCAAGCTCCAGTTTTTCTTGGATCAATTTCTGCCTCTGTAAATTGCTGTTCTCTGCTTCTCCCGTCAGCTGCTGGACACGGGCCTCCAGTTCTTTGATCATGTGGTTCTAAAAGAACAAGTCACTGTCAGGAAACCTCTAACTAGCTTTTTAGCCATGTGTGCTAGTTAGCACCCTGAAGACACATATTGCCTATCAGAATATTAAGAACAAATAGGTCATTTTCAAAATCAGTTAAAAAAAAAAAGTCTCTAAAGTAACCTTTTTATTTGTTTGTTTGTTTTTCAAGATAAGATTTATCCTTCTCTGTCCTGGAACTTGTTCTGTTCCATGCTAGTCTTGAACTCAGAGATCTGCCTGTCTCTGCCTCCTGAGTAGAATTAAAGACATGTACTACCACAATCCAGCCTAACCAACTCTTCTAAACATCATTTTTACCATAACATTTACAGAATGTTTACATATATGCACCTATTCACTGATTCATGGAATGTGTACTGAGTCTGAAAACTTTCCATGGGAGTAAAGAAGACAAGGCCCTCCCTTCAGGTAGACTGCGATCCTGCTGGGTCTCCTCATTATAGTTTAGATTTGTCCTTTTCACTTAAGGTTTTAATCATGATGTTTTAAATGAAATCCATAACCCTGTATTTTAATGCCAGAAACACCCCATAACATATTCAGGATTAGCAAGTGTGCGGGAATATTTATCATATAAATTCTTATTTTTTTCAATATGTAATGGTTTTTCTATTTCATTTAAAGCAGTTCTCTTTTTTTCTAAAGTACTCAAAAGCATCATTCAAAAAATTGCCTCTTTTTTATTTGGTATTTAAGTTATTCTGAATTCTTCACTTTAGCAGGGCTGCATTTAAAGCCTGAATAAAGGTGTTTATGAGCTTCTAAATGCTTTATTCAAAACTGCACTAAGCCAGTATTAGCTGAGAGACAACTGGTTTTCATTTTCACAACTATACTTCTAATAAATGCAAGTAGGAAAGGTTAGTGTGGCATTTCTTTTCTACTGTTTTTCCATGACAAAGAGTTAAGATAAAGTTTAAACATTACTGTTAAACCCCAACACTCTTTCTTCATATTACCTTTTCTTCATTATAAAACTGAGTAGAAAGGTAAGTTAAATTTTGGTGGAACAACTTCCAAATATGTGAAATTTTTAACACTGTGCCATTTAAAAATGGCACAGTGTTAAAAAGATGCTGAAACTATCAATCATCAAATTAATATAATTAAAGCCAAAACAATACACTTCTTCATAATTACATAATTACTTTGATGATAACACTAAAAATTGTCACCACATCTGACAAGGGCATGAAACTCTGACAATTATAAAGTCTCATAAAATATATTTTTATAATGACAGAGAAGCTGTGTAGCTTCATTCTAACGCACTGAACCCACTCTGCCTCTGCTGAGTGGAGCTGCTCCGTTAAGAACTTAACCTCACTTCTGACTGCACTCTAAACACCCTCGCTTCCTACATAGTGACAGTGTGGCACAAAATAAGAAGGAGCCTTTGCTCTCCAGTTTTCAGTGGTGGAATCCAGGGGATCTGTACTCCTTCTTTGAGGAAGTTGGTGAACAGGAGACAATATGTAGGAATGACAGAACTGCAACCCCACCTCAGTAACTTCAGGAGAGGAAATTCTGCTTATGAATAGTGACTCTCCCATTAAGAATGCCTAAAAGACACAGAAATAAGTCTGAAAAAATCAGCCCGAAGGTGGTAGAGGATGCCCAAGGCAGACGAAATGTAAGGAAGATGGAGAAAGAACCACGAAAGATGAGCCAGTATTTTCTAAGTTTTATTTCTCCTTTCCTTTTTTTTTTTTCTCTCTCTTAATCCTAGAGATAGTTTCTAATCTTGGATCATGGGGGAGAACTGGACAAGAAACTCAAAGCAGGGGGTGGCCAAGGCAGCTGAGACTTAAAATAGCAAAAACTCTAAGAAAACACTGCACAAAATGAGGTTTTGGTTACTATACGAGATAGGAGACAAGAATTCCAAAGACAAGACACAGATTAAAAGAAATAGACAAGTAGCCATTATAAACTGTTAGAAAATAACCTAGTCACCAATGAAATAAATCAAAACCAAGGGCCTAAAGTGATTCTTTGCTTAAGGAAAAAGAGTCTCTGTTAGCCAGAAAACAATCTTTTTTTAATAATATTAATAATTGAATATAGTGAAGATAAGAAGACATGCTCAGATGAAAGCACAAACTAGTTCTTTGTAAGAGAAGAAAAAAAGATGAGCGGGAATGATATCACTGTTTCAAGGGAAAAAGTGATGGACATTGGAACAATATTGTGATCTCAAATCAGGGTTACTGAAAATAACAGTAATAAAGTGAACTTGAAATTTTAATTTGGGAATTAATCAACCTTTAAAGCTTTATGGTACCCAAAAAAGGTATTTGTGAGTAAGATGCAGCCATTGGCTATGCCTGCTAAATAAAGCTATGTATGCTCCAATAATAAAATAACAAATGTTGGTGAGGATATGGAGAAATTGAAAATCTAGAACAGTGTTCGCAAGAATATTATGCTGAGGGAAGTCACCTCAGCCCCAGAAGAAACTCTATATTCCCTCATGTGGAGATTGTAGGCTGGAATTTTTAGATAAGTGGATTTAAGCTGGAGTGTCAGTAGGAGCCAGTTGTGAACAAAGGAGCCATGAGAGGTCAGTGATAAGGGGGTGGAGACAATAGAGGCAGAAGGGGGAAGACTACAAAAGGAAACACCAAAAGGAGGTATGGGTAAGAAGATAGGGAAAGCAGAGGAAGAAAATCAGCGAAAACTAAGCAGGTATGAAAAACATATAAAAGCCTGTTACTTTATAAGCTACATAAAAGTACAACTTTAAAAAGAGCTTGAATGAAGTACTCTGCATAGGTGGTTAACCTTGCTCCAAAAAGTCATAGGATTTCAAAACAAAATCCCAGTGTCACCTGCAGAATACTCTCCTATGAGTTGTTGGCCAGATAACTCCAGAAGTTCCCAAAATAATCAAGACTATTGCCATTGCTCACCAGAACTAGAGTAAGACACTACTGCTGAAGACAGTGCACTCTGGATACAGAACACAGAAAACCCAAGCTGCTACTCAGTTGGAAGCTTCCTTTCTCTGCTGGCTACCATTTGTAGATTCATAGTGCTAGAAAGTGCTTTGCAGATTGATGGGAGAGAAAAGTGATCATACACAGCTTTAAAGCCTGAGTGCTACGACCCTGAACTGCATAGACATACATGCTTGCAGGTAAAATAATGGTGTAAGTGTTCTGGAATGGTATAGAACTAATGATGGAGATCAAAGGTACTGAGAAGAATGTATTGCTGATATTTTGACAAATGGGCATGTAGCTAAACTGTCTTCAAATTTATAGTTATACTTGGTGCAACTCTCAGCCCTGGGTAGAGAAGCCTCTTTTGGTACTGGTAGCATCCACTATTGGCTGAAGTGTTGAGAATGACTACTGAATGCTTGGCCCCAAATATGTCAAACATGTCACCCCCTTTAAAGCCCAAGAGACACTAGAAGAGGATGTGGAAGGACTGTGAGAACCACGCAATTGGACACTGTTTTCTGAATAGAATGTTGCGGGATATTTGATCACACCATGAACCCCAAGATTATGAAATAGAAAACCTAGTTCTAGTTGTGGTGTGGCTCAGCTCTTAACACACACCTTTAACCCAAGAGCTTTCTGTAAACAAGAGCTAAATAAAGCCAACCATGGGTCAAGAGGCAGAGCAAGCAACCAGTTGACATAAAATAAAGGAAGGAAGGAAGGACATGGAGTTGAAGGGTATTTAAGACAGTGTGGAGAAGAAGAAAAGATATTTTCTTTCTGGGATGTCAGCTGAGTAGGAAGGTCAGCTGGGTGCTTTCTATGCTTCTCTGACCTAGCAGGCTTTCTCACCAGGTTCTGGCTCCAGAGTCTTCATTGGTACAATCAAACATTTGGGATTTTGTTTTTAAAACAACAGAAGGCCAATGCAATTGTGAACACAGTAGCTGCACAGGGCTGCACAGGTCTGCACAGGCTGAGAATGATAGTTGGAGGTAGAGATCAATGGAAAGAAAAAATGCAAGAGGAAGAGAGGGATGAAGTAGGGAAGAAGAGAGAAAAATAGAGGGGAAGAGGAGGAGTGGAAAGAGGAAGGGAAGAATGATAGTTGAGGGAGGGAAAAAGATGGGTACAGGAGGCTAGTTGGAAAGAGAATTGGTAGAAATGGGAGGGGGATTCTACAGGGTAGTTTGGGAATTACCATGATCACAGAAACTGCATACAACTATGATATTGTCAAGACTTTTTAAAACAAATAAAACCCAGTATTTTAAAAATATTTAAAAGCTGTAACCAAAATGAAAAATAAGGTAAAGGTTGCTAAACAAAATTCTGAAAATACAACTGCCAAATGGTCTAGCAATATTATTTCTGGAGGGAGTTATGTATCTCTTTACTCCAAAATAAAATTAAGATCTCAAAATATATTGGCGATCCCATGTTTCACCCTGGAACTTTTCCCAGTAGCAGAGATGGAAACAACTACACATAGCCATTAAAGAACGAAAAATGGCCTGGTGTGGTAGCACGTGCCTTTAATCATACAACCCAGGAAACAAAGGCAAGAATATCTCTGTGAGTTCAAGACCAGCCTGGTCTACAGAGAAGGTTCCAGGCCAGTCAAGGCTACATGTTAAGACCTTGTCTTTAAAAAAATGAAAAAAACAAAAACAAAAACAGGAAAATTTATCATGTGTTACAACCTGTATGAACTTTGAGGACAGTATGTTAAGTAAAATTAGAGAGTCATAGAAGGACAAATCCTGCATGCTTCCAGTTACACTATCTGCAGTAATCAGAAATCCATAGAAATAGAAAGTAGTACTGAAGAGGAGGAAGCTGTACTTTAGGTCCACATACAGTATCTGTCACAGAAAAGACAAAGTCCTAGAAATCCACTATAAACACTGTGCATACAGATAACGGTATTGTTAGGATAGCAGATTTTATGTTATGCTTTTGTTGGGATTTGAACGCAGGCATCTCTACGGCCAGCCTCAAGGGCCCTGACAAACT